GGAAGTGGCATGAAATGTCGCGCATCATGTTGTCGTAACATGACGATGTACTCGCAGGGGAAGTTTATTTAAATTATATAAAATCCAAACGATGTCCGAAAATCACGAAACTTGTCGATGTGTCTTGTTATCACATGTGGAGGCCCTGGTAAAAATTTGAAAAAGTTTTGAGCAAGTTGCGACGTCGGCTGCCTAAAACCCAGACATCGCCATGACGTACGGCCCAAAACTTCTTGCCTGCATTACCTCTAGGGGGAACGGCCATGAAAGCGTATCAAACGCTCTGGATATATCCAGCTTCAGGAGCATCAAGGGAATCCTTTTCTTCCGTATGAGAACCGCAGCTCGCTAAATGAAGTTGTCATGGATCGTTGGGTTTCGCTGAATGAACCACTAACTTCTTCCGAAATGTATTCTTAAAACCTCCAAATTTGTGAGATTTTGTAAGTATATTTGGACAAAAATATACACATATACTTACAAAATCTTGATGTTTATAGATTTTATAAGATTTGAACAAACCTTCTTCTAAACGAGGTGTTTTCTTTCTCGCTTTTGGGCCTACCGAACAAAGGAGCGGTACCCGTTATTCTTTTTATTCTTGCATGTGATCCCACCCCAAAGGCCCAAACCTATGTATGCTGCGGTGGGCCTGCGCGCTGGACATTGTGGACTAGGCCCATCATCAATAAGCTAAACGCAGTTCATACCAATAAACAAACACAGCCCAAATGCAGGATGGTCCAAAACTACCACAGCAAGCAACGCAACAAGCATGTGGCTGAGTGGCTCGTTCAACCTTTTTTTTTTTTTTGACAAAGTGGCTCGTTCAACCTTATATCACAGTCAGAGACCCATCATGGGCTTTCATGCACAGAAACATTTTGCACCAACGCAAAATCCACATTTCCACAGATATGTATATCATATATACCCGTAGGGCGTTGCGTTTTATTTCTTGTACCAGTGCAACTATAACATATACAACAAGTCCTTAAAATTTTAGAATGTGTAGTATAAATAAAAAGCCAAACACAACACGTGCTTTTATAGCTGCGGCCGAAAAGTTTGACAGCGACGGGCACTACGGATTCATGTTGTTCAAACAACAGGTCAGCCAAAATGTTACCTATGCTACACAGCCCATGAGCCAAAATTGACAAAGAAGCCTGCCTTCCGAACGGCCCAAACCCACTTTCAGGTGGGAAACCGTTGGTGCCACAGAGGGCGGAGCCCGAGCTAGCGTCCCTGCCCGCGTCTCTGCACTCACTGTATGTATTTTCATTCAGTTTTGCATTGCACATCGATCTGGGTCTTTGTCCCTGCGCTCACGAATGAGGAAATGGAGGTGAAATTACCTGATTCCGTTGCGTGTTCCGATCTTTGCTTGAGTACACAGCGTGCCTACTCACGATCACGACTGCAAATATGCTTCAGTACACAGCATGCTTCAGGATTTCATCCATACACACCAAAAACACCAATCGTCTTACTCTTACCGCCACCATATTTCACTGAAATGGGATATATATACATAGCAGTTGAAAAGATTGTTTTTTTATGTCACTGTCAAAATCTCAAAGTACCTTTCTACTTACTGCAGTAAAGTTAATTGTTCTCCTGTCCTGTCAGCTACATAGTTCAGAACAAATGGCTGCTCTTCACTTCAGTTAGTAGTAAGAACTCAGCTGCATGATGACCTGTTCAATTTCCAATTGGCAAATTTTTTTTTTTCCATAAACAGATTGCGATGTATGGCTGGGAAAACATAGGAGGGTAATTCCTCAGGAAAATTAGAAGCTCACTCATACCAGCACTGATTCTAGACTTTTTCCCCCCTTAACTCTAACTCTTCTATGCCATATTTCCTAGCAGCAGAGCAACGATCTCATTTAACTGAACTGATCTAGACATGAATGGCTCACAGCCTCACACCGCACTAATCTCTTCTTCATGATCTTTCTGTGTGAAGGCATCGAGCAGGTAGTAGCCTCTGTACATCAGTTTTCTCAAGATATTCATTTATTTGGTTTGACGAAGCATTGCTTGGTCTGTGATGATGCACCTCTGCTCTGCCTCCTATCAATCAACAGCAGAGAAATCCAGAAGCATGTTCATCCATTGTGAATTGCAGAGATGACTATGTCCATTGTGGACATATTATGATTATTATTACAAGATGATGCAACAGGCTGTAAATGGCCTTTGAATGAAGAGTTATATAGTGTAAAGTCCTTCTCCTTTGTAGGTGGTGCATTATCTTCCTTTTTCTCTGACTAAATCTCCCACAGAGCTGTATATATGGTCCGCATCTATTGTCAGCGTCTACTATTCTTTGACATCAAAGAGGAACGAAGAAAGTCAACCAGAACAATCATAGCAAAATGTGTTCTTGGACTATGACTAGACTGGACTCACCTTGCATGACCTGCACAAGTATTGTTGTTCTTAAAACGTTCTTGCTCTCCTTTCATTCAGAGACACATCTCATGCCATTCCACAACTGACAACTCGCTGGTCATTTTCTCCTCCACCTGCTACCAATGGAGATTCTCCTTTCTGTGATTCTGGGGGAGCTGACCACTCGATCCATAAATTTCCTCATCAGTAAATGCTCAAAGCCGTCAGCGCTGGAACTGGAGGATCGCCTCTGCAGAGTTCTGTGCGACTTTGATATGACATTACCAGTTTTTGATATATATGCACGAAAATTGCTAGCCGTTCGTTGGTGCACGGTGCATCACCTATTGTTTTTTTCCCAATATAAGGGATTCGGCCATTTGGATTTTTCCCCTTTTCATATGTGCACCGACGGAGAAGCTAAGTGCGCTCACTTTTCCTTTTTTTTTTCAAGATCAAGGGATTCAATGGTTTTTATTTCTTATTCTTATTTTTTTATTTTATTAACTTATAAAATCTAAAAAATCAATGACTTAGATTTGTTCGAGCTATTACCCCTTGCTGGGCTGCATAGCGAGCTCGCTAAATTTGTTGTGTAATCTAACAATTGGTCTCAGAGCCATGGTTGAAAAACAACTTGTAACATCTTGGGGGTCATATGGTGATCAAAGAGCCCGTGAACCCATCTTTGATGGGTCACAAAGGTTATGTGTGACACACATAGTTACTAGTATTTTGGGTTGAGACATGCCTTTGAGAAGCTGTCGCCAATGGAGAATGAAGGTGTGGTGTGTGCTTTCATTTTGTAAATGCAAACCGAAGTTGTCTTTATGATCAAGGCCTCTTCTTAATTATTTGATCAAGATTAGAAATGATGAAAGAAAATGAGTTCATAGATGGTGATGGCTCCGGGTCCATAAGCCAAGGCTCGAAAGTCTAAGAGACGTGCCTTTCTCATCTAGAAGGCAGGTGGCTTGAAGAGAAGTTGCGGTAGGTGACTTGGACTACTGGAGTTGACTGGCTTCACCAGTAACCTGTTGTACGTGAGTCTGTGACCCTCCCTCTAATCCGGACCAACGGCGGCGATATCTTCCTTCAGAAGACTTTGTCCAAAGTTGATTATTCTCTGGAAAGTTTTAGTTCCTCCAGTAAAACACACAGATTTTGGAACAATTGTGTTAGACACTTGGCATGTTGAGCCGCACGGTCCTTGATCTATCAGAGCTAATCATGGTCATGACTAACCTTGCCTGTACTGCTAGCAGTTTTATAGCATGCATATCTCCACTGGTTAACTACTACTGCACAAATGATTTTTAAAGTTGTCTCGTAAATTTTCAGGAGCGATTCATTTGGTAAATTGCCTCTAAGTAGGCTCTGAGTACTATAGCTTACGAATCCCTCTGAAAAATTCTTTTTTAAGGGCGGCTTTGTTAAGTAAACTACCGCTAGAATATATTCATTTTCATGGAAGCAGACCATCACAAAAAATGCGTTACAAAGCCCAACACTACAATAGAGGACACATTATCACTATTGATGGCACGGTGTCAATTTCAAAACTCTTCTCCTGAAAACCGTTTTTGACTAACCCCAAAAACGGTTTTGGCAGTAGCATTTTTGGCCACCAGCTGGCCCCTCCCCTCTGCTAGTGGCAATATCCCTCTCAATAGCTTAAATTGTGAGATTCAAGAGCTAAAAACTCCTTGTTTCAAAAAAAGAGCTAAAAGCTCCTACTCAAATATAGAAGACAAGCAAAGATTTTGTAGATATGCTCCACTTCCACCTATATATAGTCCGCATATTTTTTCCCACAAAGGCCAAAAACAATGTTTTCATTTATGAAGCTTCTTCAGTTCTTCTAATGCTTTATAAGTAGTTGCTAGTCCGTTGTTTGTGTATTGTAGACCAACTACTATTTTGACTGGTTTTGTGATGGAAAAGGAAGTTGCAGCATGGGCCTTCTGCTATGGCGAAGATGAAGTAATGGAGAAGGGATTACTCCCTCTGTCCCTAAATAAATATATTTCTGGAGTTGTCTTAAGTCAAACTTTTAAAACTTTGACCGAATTTGTAGAAAAAACATCAAGGTTTATGATATCAAACTAGTATCATTAGATATACCATAGAATATATTTTTATAATATGCTTATTTTATGTCATAGATGTTACTCTTTTCTATAAAGTTAGTCAAACTTAAAAAAGTTTGACTGGCACGGATTCTATGAATTGATTTATTTGGGGACAGAGGGAGTAGTCATTAGTAAGCGCTGCTGGGCAGGCTTTCAAATAAGTTTCATAGATGGTGATGGCTATTGAATTGGCTCCGTGTCACTAAGGTTGAGAAGTCAGAAGATGTACCATTCAAAGCATGCAAGTCTTATTTTCTGATAAATTCAGCTGGTAGGTTGGTTACACGCAAACAAGTGGTAGGTGGCTTGAACTACTGGAGTGTACTCAGAAAGGTTTCTATTCCTCCATAAAACACACGGTGATTTTCGATCATCTAGGAAAGACTCTTAGCTCCTCCACTGGAGATTGTTCCTTCTCTTATCTCCACCTACTGTGTGATCTTCGTGATAAGAGCAAGGAGTCCTAAAATGGACATGATAATTTCTGCAGTACTTGGTGAGGCGATCTCTAGATCCATAAGTTTTGTCATCAGCAAAAGCTCCAAGCAGAAGGTGCCAGATGATGTTCACAACAGCCTGCAAAGGGTTCTCCTTCGGGCACAGGTCATCATCGATGAGGCCACGGGATGCCACATCACAAACCAAGGTATGTTGCAGCAGCTGGGCATGCTGAGAGATGCCATGTACCAAGGCAATTACATACTTGACACTTCCATATACCAATCTCATGACGTGGAGGATGGCAAGGATTCTGTTGTGAGTCAATCTTTGCCTTTGTGCAAAGTAAATTCTCTCAGACGAATATCTTCTTCCAGTAGAAAGAAAGAGATTTTGGAACAATTGCAACATGCTGTTAATAATTTGAGCTCTATGATACTTGATCTAAAAGAGCTGGTTGTGTTCTTGACGAGCTACCCTCGGATGTACCGCCAGCCTTATAGCATGCATCTACTGCTCAGTAACTGCATGTTTGGCCGCCAGATGGAAGCACATCATGTTATTAGCTTCCTGTTGGATACACAGCCTCGTGGTTTTGAAGAATTGGAAGTCCTGCCAATTGTTGGTCCATATGAAGTTGGAAAGAGCACCCTTGTCTCTCATATTTGCAACGATGAAAGGATCCGTGATCATTTCTCTGAAATTTTTTTATTGAGCGGACATGAGTTTACAAATTTTGACCACGCTAAGCTGAGTGAAGGATGTGCAGCAGAACATCAAAATTGTGTGTTGAACTCAAACAAAGATAGGAAGTTACTTTTTGTTGTTGAATTAGTTGGTGATCTTAACGAAGATGCTTGGAATAAATGGTGTTGTTCTTATAAACAACACATACCAAGGGGTAGTAAAATCATAGTCACAAGCCGATCAGACAAGATCGTCAAGTTTGGAACAGCACCACCTCTATATTTGAAGCATCTGTCCCCTGAAGCGTACTGGTATTTCTTTAAGACACTTACGTTTGGAAGCATGGATCCTGAAACACACCCAAGGTTTGCCCGACTTGCTATGGAGATGGCTAGGCTCCTAAGTGGAACTTTCATTGGTGCAAACGTGAATGCTTGTTTGCTGAGGGACAACTTTGACATCCATTTTTGGCACAAGGTTGTAGCCTTCTACAGAGTGGTCACCTTGAAGAATGTCTCAGAATTTGGTGTTCGTCCATTCAATCTTATACAACAGAACAGGCCTATAATTATTTGGGGGATGGCCACACCGTCTGAAGAGCTTGTGATTTATGGTCAATTTGAACGCTCTGCAGAGGAGGAGGTTCCAAAGATAAGTTTCCGAGATGTGTTTTATGGAAACGTTAATCCTCGTGGGAAATTTGAGATCCTATTGTGGAGGTCTCGGATTCCGCCTTACTATAGCTATTTTAGCTCTTCTGAGATCCGAGAGGTAAAAACTGCAGCTGCCAAGAGGAAGCGTTCTGTGAAAAATGGATTAATGCTTTGTTAATTATTCTGTCTTTGGGCTCATGTGGCAAAATATCTGAGTATATGTTTTCATTGGTTGTCACAAGTTGCGGCATAGTCATGCAATATATAGGATGTAACAGGTTGCAACGTTATGAAACAGTACTAGTATTTATTACTACCTTGTCATGTGTAAGTGTAACCTGTTTTTTCCTTCAACACATTATAGGTGAGTTTTATGTCATTTCATTAAATAAGACATGTAAAGTGCTAATGTTGTAAAGAATAACTCATGTTATTTTGGCATACATTTTTGTGTAACTAGAAGATACCCTGTACATTGCTACGGAAGTTGTAAAGAATTTAAAATGAAATTAATAAAAATACCTCGTTTTTTCTCGACCTCGAACCCTAGACATATATATATGCCAGTGTTCTCCTCGACGCGTCCCATCGTGAGCTGCCACTCCTAACTCAATGCATCCACCGCCGAAGTTCGCCATAGCTAGGGTTCCGGCGAACTCTCTGGCGAACTTTTCCGGTCAAACCTGGGTGTTCCGGCGAATTCCACCACCACCACGAGGTAGCCCTTTTCGTTCTCTACGTCGTGGTATACTTGTTTTCTCGAATCCGTGTCCGTTTGATGGTTTCCCTAACCTTTCTTCCTCTATTCCGATGAGGAGCTCCATGAATAGGTCGTCTTCCTTCGTTCTCCGGCAACTCAGGGCATGGCCGTTCCCACCACCGGGCCGCGCCCCTGGGTCGAGCGCCCCACGCCGCCGCCTCGGGCTCACGCCCCCGCGCCTCGCAGTGCCTTCGCGCCTACTCGAACGAGCAGGTTGGCCGCCGCCGCTACCTATGGCCGCTCGGCCACTAGCCGCGCAGCACCTGCTGCGGGCCCTGCCCCGGCTCCGCGCCATCCCGGCATGGCACCGCCGGCCGCCTCTAGGCCCCGGTCCGAGCCCCCTTCTCCCCCCGTGGTGCGCAGTGCAGCAACCTCCCATGGCTGCCATGGCCACATTCTTATTTATGGTTTTGCTATCGATCGTACCCTGTTCGCTTTGACTACTTCAATAGTACTTTTCAGCGAATAAACAATGTTTTACTCTCACAACAAATCAGCATAAGTACTAGCATAAGACAAATTTTAGCGAAACGAATAGGGCCGACCATAAGCTATGTGTTAGCAACGAGCCAACGATCTTTACTATGTTATGTGTTTATGAAATTAATACTATTAATTTGAATAATGTTTTATTCATTTCCTTTTTAATTTATAAAAGGAAGTTAGGTTTATACATCAATCTTTCATAAATTAATTATAATATGATTAATATTGACCTTAATGCCTTTTCAATAATGACCTGCTTAGATCAACCTCGAATACATGAAATAATTCGATTAGTGCCTCTCACATGTTTTATGTATTCAAAACTATAAATGTTTAAATGACTTAAATGATATGTAATCATTTATAATTAAAATATGACTAAGGTTTAATTCCGTCTTTTCTAATTAAACTATAATTTGACTTCATTGAACTTTAGGATGTTTCTTTGAAATGTCCATCACCTCATTTCATTAACTAAAATGAATCAAGCTTATAGTTTGTCTTCCTCAATTATTTTGCAAACACCTCGATAGACGTGTCCTCCTTAACGATAGCTCCGTTCTCAGTCGTTCTTGTGTTCTCGCGACCGTAGCAACAAGTCGTGCCGTTTAGTGCACTCTCTTTTCAAGCTTTTCCCTTTTGAGTGATGTGTTGTTCTTAGTCGTGTTTGCTTGTTGTCTGTTTGTTCTCCTTGGTTGCTGCGAGTAGAAGAAGAGCAGTTGAAAAGATTGTTTTTTTTATGTCACTGTCAAAATCTCAAAGTACCTTTCTACTTACTGCAGTAAAGTTAATTGTCCTCCTGTCCTGTCAGCTACATAGTTCAGAACAAATGGCTGCTTTCACTTCAGTTAGTAGTAAGAACTCAGCTGCATGATGACCTGTTCAATTTCCAATTGGCAAAAAAAAAATATTTTTTTTCCATAAACAGATTGCGATGTATGGCTGGGAAAACATAGGAGGGTAATTCCTCAGGAAAATTAGAAACTCACTCATACCAGCACTGATTCTAGACTTTTTTCCCCCTGAACTCTAACTTTTCTGTGCCATATTTCCTAGCAGCAAAGCAACAAACTCATTTAACTGAACTGATCTAGACATGAATGGCTCACAGCCTCACACCACACCAATCTCTTCTTCATGATCTTTCTGTGTGAAGGCATCGAGCAGGCAGTAGCCTCTGTACATCAGTTTTCTCAAGATATTCGTTTATTTGACGAAGCATTGCTCGGTCTGTGATGATGCACCTCTGCTCTGCCTCCTACCAATCAAGAGCAGAGAAATCCAGTAGCATGTTCAGCCATGTTGAATTGCAGAGATGACCGTCTCCATTGTGGACATATTATGATTATTACAAGATGATGCAACAGGCTGCAAATGGCCTTTGAATGAAGAGTTATATAGTGTAAAGTCCTTCTCCTTTGTAGGTGGTGCATTATCTTCCTTTTTCTTTGACAGAGCTGTATATATGGTCCGCACCAATTGTCAGCTTCTACTATTCTCTGACGGCAAAGAGGGACAAAGGAAGTCAACCAGAACAATCATAACAAAATCAGTGTATGTATTTTCATTCAGTTTTGCATTGCACATCGATCTGGGTCTTTGTCCCTGCGCTCACGAATGAGGAAATGGAGGTGAAATTACCTGATTCCGTTGCGTGTTCTGATCTTTGCTTGAGTACACAGCGTGCCTACTCACGATCACGACTGCAAATATGCTTCAGTACACAGCATGCTTCAGGATTTCATCCATACACACCAAAAACACCAATCGTCTTACTCTTACCGCCACCATATTTCACTGAAATGGGATATATATACATAGCAGTTGAAAAGATTGTTTTTTTTTATGTTACTGTCGAAATCTCAAAGTACCTTTCTACTTACTGCAGTAAAGTTAATTGTTCTCCTGTCCTGTCAGCTACATAGTTCAGAACAAATGGCTGCTTCACTTCAGTTAGTAATAAGAAGTCAGCTGCATGATGACCTGTTCAATTTCCAATTGGCAAAAAAGAAACATTTTTTTCCATAAACAGATTGCGATGTATGGCTGGGAAAACATAGGAGGGTAATTCCTCAGGAAAATTAGAAACTCACTCATACCAGCACTGATTCTAGACTTTTTTCCCCCTGAACTCTAACTTTTCTGTGCCATATTTCCTAGCAGCAAAGCATCAAACTCATTTAACTGAACTGATCTAGACATGAATGGCTCACAGCCTCACACCACACCAATCTCTTCTTCATGATCTTTCTGTGTGAAGGCATCGAGCAGGCAGTAGCCTCTGTACATCAGTTTTCTCAAGATATTCGTTTATTTGACGAAGCATTGCTCGGTCTGTGATGATGCACCTCTGCTCTGCCTCCTACCAATCAAGGGCAGAGAAATCCAGTAGCATGTTCAGCCATGTTGAATTGCAGAGATGACCGTCCCATTGTGGACATATTATGATTATTACAAGATGATGCAACAGGCTGCAAATGGCCTTTGAATGAAGAGTTATATAGTGTAAAGTCCTTCTCCTTTGTAGGTGGTGCATTATCTTCCTTTTTCTTTGACAGAGCTGTATATATGGTCCGCACCAATTGTCAGCTTCTACTATTCTCTGACGGCAAAGAGGGACAAAGGAAGTCAACCAGAACAATCATAACAAAATCAGTGTATGTATTTTCATTCAGTTTTGCATTGCACATCGATCTGGGTCTTTGTCCCTGCGCTCACGAATGAGGAAATGGAGGTGAAATTACCTGATTCCGTTGCGTGTTCTGATCTTTGCTTGAGTACACAGCGTGCCTACTCACGATCACGACTGCAAATATGCTTCAGTACACAGCATGCTTCAGGATTTCATCCATACACACCAAAAACACCAATCGTCTTACTCTTACCGCCACCATATTTCACTGAAATGGGATATATATACATAGCAGTTGAAAAGATTGTTTTTTTTTATGTTACTGTCGAAATCTCAAAGTACCTTTCTACTTACTGCAGTAAAGTTAATTGTTCTCCTGTCCTGTCAGCTACATAGTTCAGAACAAATGGCTGCTTCACTTCAGTTAGTAGTAAGAAGTCAGCTGCATGATGACCTGTTCAATTTCCAATTGGAAAAAAAAAACATTTTTTTCCATAAACAGATTGCGATGTATGGCTGGGAAAACATAGGAGGGTAATTCCTCAGGAAAATTAGAAACTCACTCATACCAGCACTGATTCTAGACTTTTTTCCCCCTGAACTCTAACTTTTCTGTGCCATATTTCCTAGCAGCAAAGCAACAAACTCATTTAACTGAACTGATCTAGACATGAATGGCTCACAGCCTCACACCACACCAATCTCTTCTTCATGATCTTTCTGTGTGAAGGCATCGAGCAGGCAGTAGCCTCTGTACATCAGTTTTCTCAAGATATTCGTTTATTTGACGAAGCATTGCTCGGTCTGTGATGATGCACCTCTGCTCTGCCTCCTACCAATCAAGGGCAGAGAAATCCAGTAGCATGTTCAGCCATGTTGAATTGCAGAGATGACCGTCTCCATTGTGGACATATTATGATTATTACAAGATGATGCAACAGGATGCAAATGGCCTTTGAATGAAGAGTTATATAGTGTAAAGTCCTTCTCCTTTGTAGGTGGTGCATTATCTTCCTTTTTCTTTGACAGAGCTGTATATATGGTCCGCACCTATTGTCAGCTTCTACTATTCTCTGACGGCAAAGAGGGACAAAGGAAGTCAACCAGAACAATCATAACAAAATGTGTTCTTGGACTATGACTATAGGACTGGACTCACCTTGCATGACCTGCACAAGTATTGTTGTTCTTAAAACGTTCTTGCTCTCCTTTCGTTCAGAGACACATCTCATGCCATTCCACAACTGACAACTCGCTGGTCATTTTCTCCTCCACCTGCTACATTATCTTCCAAAGGAGG